GGGGGGGGGGTCGGCACCAGATCCGGGTTCAGATGCCACCCATTGGGGAGGTGGGCATCAGTAGCAGGGTGCCAGTCTGCCAGTACCGGCGGCAGACGTCCATCTTGACGTACGGCCAGAAGCATGCAGTAGCCGCCATAGGGAAGATCGAGAATGCGGCCAACGAGGTGGAGTGGGTGGCCGCGCTTCCAGACGAAGCGGACGACGAGCCCGCCTCGTGGTCGTGCTTGCCCTTCTTGCCGGGAACCAACTTCCAAAAGCCCATCACGACGGTCGGCGAGGAGCGAGGTGGGGCGGCGGCACTAGGCTAAGGTTTGGTGTCGGGCATGGAAGGAACAATGACGTGGGGATAGTGTGGGGAAGTGGAAGTGGACTGGCCGGTCCACAGCTTCGCCATAAAAAAGGATGCTGCCAGGGGCGGCCGGGTGGCTGACCGGCGGGCCCGTCCATTCGTGTGGATTAAATGAGGTCGGTGGGAGGTAGTTGGACGATCGACACACTGGCCTGAGGCGGATGTCAAAAGGACGCGTGCGCGTCCGTTCCGTGTCTGTTTAGCCGCAACCTGATCAATTTTGCGCCCACAATGGGTCGAGCCGGACCGGAAACAGACATTTATTACGGATGCGGTCGCGCGTTGGGCCCTATGGACTGTTCGTTTGAGTCAACATGGACACCCCCGGATGATTTGGGGTCATGCGTTGGTGTTGGCCTGAGTCACACTTAACCTTAATTTTGGTACAAAGGAATTTTATTACGCTTAACGGCCCAATTTTTGCTGTGTTGTTGTTTAGATGCGGGTGTGAGAAATGACCCATTTTCAAACTGTTATGTTGTTGTTCAGATGCGGGTGTGCGAAATGACCCATTTCAAACTATTGTGTTGTTGTTCTGAGGCGAGAGTAAGAAAAGCCCATTTCGAATGGCGATATATCAGTATCAGTCAATTTTTTTGGCCTTTTCGGATGTCTATATCAGAAATGTCCCGTCTTGGTCAAGTTTTCTTTTACCCATATCGGATCTTGCATCTGTTATAACTGGTGTTGTGGAAGTACCTGATATAGTGGATCTGGGCACTTTACTCATGACAAATTCCTTTTCAACCAAATTACCAAACAATATAGACTCAATGTATAGTAAGTTTCTTTTCGCAAAAAAAAAACAATGTATAGTAAGTTTCAACAACCTATATGAACCAACAGGGCATAAAAAAGGCCCAAAAGACCTTCTCAAGCACATATGTGCCTTTGGCACTGATTCAGTGAACTCAATTTACTGAAAAATGAGACTGACAAAAGTTTAATGCAATGCTCAGTAATCTTCCCCATACATATGTGACGATTCAATGACCAATGAAATTATCTCTTCCTTGTGAGGCTCTCAGGCTTGATGTATAGACCATTAATTTATCCCGATGAACTCTAAAGAGGTGCTTGTTCCAATTTCTAAGGCCCTATTTGTTTGGGTTGCGACTGAATGAGAAGCAGTTGGAGCTGCTAAACAAGCATTTCCCGTGACAAATACTATGCTTATGCGTATTCGTCAACGGCATAGCTCTTCTTATTTCTTAAAAAAAGAACGAAAATGATAAATAACGAACATTCGAAATTTTGCCCATGACAAATCGAACGTTATTTATGACAATTTCAGTTGAGGCGAGGATTGCAATTTTCTGGTAAAAAAGCAAACCGAGGACAAAATTACCATGCTTACGAACTAAACTTGATATCCTCGCGTCAACTAAAGTTGATTTGCCATGGACAAAATCAGAACGGGACTTATCGGGTCCAAAAAGAAACATTTAATGCATGTATATCAAATACGCCATGCACTCCACCTCGCGATTTTTTACCAGATAGGCTACTCGCGTGAAACGTTCCGCCAAGATCGCATCAGGCGATCGAAGGAGGCGACCGGGACCCTTGCAGGCCGCCGGTGACGCCGCCGGTTCCCTCTCTCTCCGTCGGCCGCTCCGGCAGCGGGAGGGAGGGGGAACCCCGGGTCTGTTCTCTAGGTGGATGTGCGGTAGGGTTAGGGTTGAGGGAGACGTTGCCGAGGCCGTTGCGGTGGTGTCGCGTCGGAATAAATTTCTCCGGGCTCCGTTCGCGGTCAGGCAAGGCTTTTGCCTTCGTCTAGGAGCCAGCGGTGTTGGGGATCCCCGGATCTCGTCGAGGTCGCGGGCTATGGTGGTTGGAGGTCCATCGGCACTGGCCGTTTG